TCCATTTCTAAAGGAATCTAGATTCTTGCAGCTTGAACATGAAATTACAGCTTCTGTAGCTCTGTAAGAATATATTATGACTTTAATCCTATTACATTACAGTGTATTTTAAAGCCATTATGGACAGTTTGGCAGCTGATAGAAATCAGTGTATTGCTCTCAAAGCCAAATGAGCTTCACTTGTCAGCAGAGTTTGCTGAGGACTTGGCCTCTCCTTATTCCTGGAGAGCAAGACATTTGATGTCCTCCGTGATTTTGGAGCATGTCCTGCTGATGGTTTCAAATGTTTCCCTGAGTTGCTCAATCTATTTGATACTCTCAACTCCGGAATCAAAAATGGATAAAGAAAACTAGCATGCCAGGTTGTACTTACTTGTTCAATGTTGCCAACCTAGAATAATCCCACTGATAATATTTGAAGTTCCTCTGTATGGGCAGTAGTGACATTTAAAGAATGGGCCCATTACAGGTGGCTTGGCTGCTCTCTGAAGAATCTGTATGCTTGTAAGATCAAAGAGGTTGTCATTCTCCTTGGGAATACCGCTCCCATGTTTCAAGAAGCCTGTTTCCCTCAGTAAGATGGATCTTGATAGAGGCCCTTGATTACATCTCTCTGTGAAACTTTGCTTAGTTAAATGTTCAAATACCTCTTAAGAATTTCATCTGAGCAGCCAATATGTAACTAGTCTCTACAGAATTGCAAGCCATGGGGAAAAAGCTCAAGAAGTCTTTGCTTGCCTTCGTCCTCTTACTCAGCGTTTGTGCATGGGCACAATCAGCATTTGTTCATAATGAGGCTATAGCTGCCCTGGAGCAAGGGAGCGTGCTGGGTGGAAAGCCCAGCATCAGCACTCACACTGAGCACTGAGGCTGGCTTTGTACACCACAACCCTTCGAAGAGTAGGCTCATTGCATTTTGAATGTCTACAGTCCCTTGGAGATTCCGACCCATGTGGTGCAAAAATGAAAGATGAATTTTCTAAGTACAGGCTCACTCTTGAAGGAGCACAAGGGTCAGCTTCACAGTGCTATGTGCAGCTACTTCCGTAAATCAAAATGGTTTCCAAGGGCCTCCAGCTTTGTCACAGCTCTTCTGTTGCTGCTCCTCGAATATTACCAGAGAGAAAGCCAGCATCTTACACAAGGGCAACGATCCTATAAATGTCGCTGCTCAGAATCCACCTACATGGAAGCACTTTTGAGGTAGAGAATTTTGTTTCTACAGCAGAAACCAAAATCTTTAGCTCTCTCTGGGTTAGGTTGGCCTGATGTAGTAGATAAGAAGAATGAGGGAAAGATCTTGTTGGCAAAAGACAGGATTTTTGTTGCTCCTTGTCTGAAATCATAAATGAATATTTGCATGATAATCTAGGGGGCTAATCCAACATGATGTTTCCCTTCATTTACCATTTACCTCACTGAGTCCTATTAATGGCACCTCAGATCTAAAACTTCTGTGCTTTAATAGTCAAAATTTGCAAAAAGCAACGTAAGAAAAAAAAAAGGCAATTAATTTTTTGAGACAATGATTCACAGTAGCAATGTCTCTTATGTTAATGTACAATCTAATTTTCTAACTTTAAATTCATTTTGAATCCTGCCTCTTTAAGCTCTGTAAAATTTCTGGTGGTGACCTCTACTTCTTGCATAATTACTGTTAATGAAAATCTTGAAATGCCTCATTGAGTTGGAAAGCTATTTAAATACTTCTTAACCAGCCCAAAGTCTGTTGTCTTTGATGTGCTTTTGCTTAGAAGGACAAGTTATGAGTGTCAACAGACTGGCTGCACTGGAGAATTGGTCCAGCTATCAACTACAGGTGGAAGGTGGGTGGAGGCTGAAGCTCATCCTAAATGCAACCCATGCTCCCTTCATTTGTTTAAATAATATGCTAGAAAAGGCAGGATTTACAAAAAATGGGGAGGGGAAAATGGAATTGCTCCTCTACCTTCTTCCTTTTTCACAGTCAGTGACTCTTTGGTGAAGCTGGCTTGGTTTTGAGTGATTTTGTGCAGGGTTGGACGAGTAGAAGATGTGGCCCAGAACATTTCTTTAGCTGTCCATGACTGAAATTGAAGCAAACTGATCTTCTGTGGAGAATTAAGACTTGAATCTTGGATCTATATCTGAAAGCTTTACTTGTTTTTTGTTGGTTTTTTTTTTTTTTTTTGGTTGGTTGGTTGTTTTTTGTTTGGTTGTTTGGTTGTTGTTTGTTTTGGGGTTTTTTTGTTGTTGGTGGTGGGGTTTTTTTTGTTTTTTTATTAAAAGGGTGTTCAGATATCACCTCCTGGCTCCAAACCTGACTGACAGCGGAGCAGTGGAGTGGCTGAAGCACTCAAGAGTGGCCTTTGAGAGCCTGATCTGCTACCCCACAGGTGTCCTTTGTGACCTTTGGTGTGCTACTCAGTCTCTCTGCGCCTCAGTTTCCCATTTATTTTAAAAGGTCATCTCCCTGATTCTGGGAGAACTGTGAGGATAAATATGTAAAAAAAATGTGTAGTGTCTGAGCCTTTCTGAATGGCGATATTACAGATAAAGGTGAGAGCTGTTTGGCTGGAAGAGGCTGTTGTGGCACAAAAGAAAAGGCATTGCCTCATCCTTTGTCTGGTTGGGAAGCTTTTAACATCCATACAATACAGGTAATTTTTCATCATGGCTTCTGCTATTGCTAAACATACTAGTTTTGGTTCTGATCTTTTCCCAGATGAGAACCTGGGGATAATGGTATATCAGTAAGCCTTACTCATCCCATGTTTAGATGGAAACATAGGTAGAGGACAAGAGATTAGCTGAAGGTATGAGAACTGATTCCTGTGGCTTCTCCAGGAGAAGGTGGAGAGTGTGCCCCTCTTCCCCTACAGATAATAGAAATTAAAAATCAAGAGTGGCTGGAGAAGCAAAGCCTTCTGTTTTTGAAGGAAAGAGGTACCTCAAGAAGGTGGAGCTGAGGAACTTGTTTTTATTTAACTGCTTGTCCAGACAAGATCAAAGGAAATCAGCTGGGACAGAGGAGACAGGCTGTTTAACTGTCTCCAAGATTCAGAGATAAATTATGAACTGTAAGAGAAAGATGGAGGACAGCTATGAGGACTTTGCCCTAAGACCAAAGATGCTCTCCTTTTGTGAGGAAACAGAAACAAATGTTCCTGTTTTATTGATCCACAGCCTCACACCTCAAATGTATCTGTCTTCTGTTGAAGATGAGTTCACAGAGCCTGTCTGTGTCCCTCAACTCTCATTTTTCTCTGGAGAGTTGTTTGCAGGCCCCCGGGTGTGTGGAGGCTTGACCTCTGGCAGATGGGGTGCGTAAGCCCCAGGCTCAGTGGGGAAGGGGAGTGAGCCATCACAGGGTCTTTGGGGCCCCACATGGTGACTCTGTGCTCCCATTTCTGTGAAGAGACCTGGCACCCTGTGGGTGGGCAGGCCCTGGGAGGACTACAGACATGAAGGGAGGAGCACATCCATCCCCGTCAGACTGGTGAGAGCCCAGATAAGGGGAATTATGTGATTTGGGGTGGGTCTGGCATGCACTGAGGGATCGATGGCAGCAGCAGTCCTGCCTGTATGGCAGGGTGCAGGAGCACCTGATATGAATGTGATCTAGGGTCATGCTCACTACACGTTGAACCCCTTGGATCCAATTTAGTTTCATCTGGTTTTGAAGAAGAATAAGCCCCTGATAACTCTGGCTGGCCACCCACCTCTTGCTCTCATCTGACTGGAGTCTGTCACCTTGCCACTGCTAAGTCCTTCGGCCTCATGAATTTCACGATATGGACTGTAATCTGGTTTTCACCCGAGAATCTAATTTTTCATTGGAAAATAAATATATTTTTAGCCCTTGTGCCTTTAGACAAAAATCTGAAATACATGAACTTTACACACTGTGAAAGGGAGTGGGCAAATTAAAAGAGCTAAGTGTTTATTAATTTTAAGTCTACTTTTTAATATATCTCAGGAATTTTGAGAATTGATGTACAGTTTAGGGGGTTTAAAACATTTTGAGGTGATGGTGACATATCTTTGAAACTCTTGGTAAAACACTGTGAAAAAAACAAGACATGAAGAGACAAGATCCTGCCCTTTGCATGTGTTATGTGTATCTGGAGCTGTATCATGGAAGTGAAAGGGATTACATCTGGTAAACAGGAAGTATACTTTTGGCCTCTGGATTTGGGGGAGAGTTTCTAATCTCAAATTTCCTTTATGTCAGTTCATGTAACCACAGTTACTAGGCACTGGTCCCCCTTAACCCAGTCCCCTATCTCACATCTGCTCAGAACTCTGAAATCCCAAACATGTTGGTGTGAATCAGTGCAAGTCCTCTGGTTGTGGGAATTTTTTTATTTTTTTTATTTGGGGGCTTTAATTCTTTTTTTTTCTGATCAGGTGCACAGCACACCCCTGGTTCCCACAACTGGGAGGAAGCAGTTTCTTGGTGTTCACTCTCTTGGGCAGTAATTACAATTTGTCAGGAATGCAGTTTATTTTGTAATTCAACATTTCCCCATAGCATAATTGTGTAACACCTAAACAAACAGTTGTTCCTGTTAAATGCTTGGAAAAAAATAAGACATTGTAGTGGAGGTCAGAATAGGCCTAAGGTACTCACAGGAACAAAACCTTTTCTTTCCCTGTCCTTGAAGTTGGTCCAATGTTCATTAAAATCATCAGTAAGACTTCCATTGATTTCTGTAGGAATAATTCCAGATCCTATTTGTAGTTCCTGGAAGATGCTATATAGATGCTATTTATATATTCAGGTGGCACAGTAGAAGTAGAACAAGTCTGTCATCATTGTCCATGTACAAATCTTAAGGGACAGCAGCTGGGCATCAACACAGACTTTGGTTCCTGTGTGCCTGTAATCATCGGCTTCTCTGATTATAAGTCTGACAAAGGAAAGAAAGTAATTTTTTCTGATTAATTTTGTACTGAAGCTTCTTTATTTGGTATCAGACTAGCACAATTTACACCATCTTTTATATTCTGTCAAACAGCCACAAAGAAGATGCTAACATTTTACAGCAGCGGTGGTTACTACTTTATGGACCTCTTCTAAGTCCTTAAGGGTAAGCATTTAGAGCAGAAGATGTGAAATTTGGTAGTTGCAACCCAGGATTTCCTGTGATTGTTGAATAGTTGTAGTGTTATGCAAAACAACAGCAACAAAGTTAGAAAATGGGAATGCAGAGCAAGGAGCTGTGACTTTTTAATAATTTTCTTCTAAATTTCATTTGGAAGGAAAAAAGGCCAGGATATGAAATACTTTAGAAAAAAATGTTATTGAATATTCATAGCCTGCTGGTGAAAAATGACGTGATTATTAAAATATCTGCTGCTCTCATATGGAAATAAAGCCATCAGATGTCTATCCCCACCAGGAAGAAACGCAGTTGAAATGACTGTCAAACTATTTACACAGCGATGGCTCTTATGTAAACTGCTACCCCTACTGAACTCCCTGCACTATTACACCCCTCTCCCTGCCTCATGGAGCCCCAACAGAAAGGGCAGAAGTGTAGACTAAAAAAAGAAAAAAAAAAAACTATTCATGAAGAGTGTGGAATTTTTGTCCATGTTTTGGATGGACTGTATGAACTATTTGAAATGTTGTATTTTGGTGGGTGGCATTTCAATATAATCCATTTAAGCAGAAAAAAATTATTCTCACTTTTTTTTTTTTTTTTTTTTTTGTGGAGTATCTACTCATTTGACTGAAGCTTTTATTTTTTAAGATTGTCTCCTTTCTGTTTTCCCCATGTAGAATGGGAACTCACATTAGCTTCCCGGATTAAGCGATAAGTGTTTTATCTCCTTGTGGCCCACTCATTCTATAGAGTCTTCTAAGTCCCTGTAGCAATCTGACTGGCAGAGTCTTCACAATGAGTCAGGGCACACAGAAAAGTGTCGTAGTATCTTCTCAATCTTTCTTTTTTTTTTTTTTTTTTCTTAAGGATCTAATGCTTTTTGCAGCTATAACACCTTTTCACATTAAGCAAGATCCTTACTGATATGTGATTTTTGCTTGATTTGGGGGTCAAAAACAAAGTGGAAGACATATCGAGTGGTGGGAAAAAACAACTTTCTTGACGTCAGGAGTACGGTTAGGAAATTTGGAAGGAACTGAGAGCCAGGAAGCCAAACCTGGGAAGAATGCTCGAGGAAAACGATGTCACGTGGAAGGTACCAGCAGCGCTCTGAAGGAGCTTCCTCACCTCCCTCTCCAAGGGTGGGGATTAACCAATGAACTGAGTAAATGCGCCTCATTAGGTCGCCCCACCGTCTCTCTGGGGATGGGGATTACCATAGGGCGGGCACCACTGTGACACCGCTGCTGTTGTGTGGCTTTGCCAGCATGCCTGAGCCACACCTGAATTGTTGGTGGAGGCTCAAGAGCCATGAATTCATGACCCTTCATCTAGCTGATTTCTGAACCAAAGATTGCCCATTGGGTTCCAAGCAAAATAAAATCGAAATTCACTTTAGTTTTGTAATTTTACAACACAGCTGGAACTTTATGCTTTTGCATCAAAAAGCGTCCTAAAGGTAATGACATTTAAAATTGTTCCTGTGAAGCACTTTGGGTCCATAAGAGCCAGATGAAGCTGTGGTATGTGTGTCCATGCACGGGACTTACAGCAACGAGAAGAAATTACATACAGAAAGCTAGGTTTTCATTACCCTTAACTGGAAAAAAAGGAGATAAAAATAACAGCGTTCTCAAATGCTCACAACTCAAAAGTCCGTCACTAAAAGCTAGGAAATCAAACCTACATCAGAAGTTTTAAATTAAATAAAAAGAGATGCTATCTATTTGGATTCCAGTGTTAAGCTATTAAGCACTACTTTTCCAAGTTTTTTCAACAACCTTGAGGGTGATAGGGAAAATATATATTTTATTCTGTTTTAATAATAATAATTGTATTATTGAATTGTATTTCTACAAAAGAAACTTCTTCTAGGTTCTCTGATGAACTCTATCTGGGTCCTTGGTGGCAAACCCCTTACCTACCTCTTTTCTACGTTGCACTTTTGCATCATTGACCAGCTTGTTTCTATATAAAAAAAGTGACTAGAATTTGCAGGTATGTTAGTTATTGGTGATTTCACACTTGCTGTGAAGCCAGACCTTTGATAATCATAAACAGATGCCTCTGTAACACATTTGGTTCTGCTCAAAAACTGGAAAAGCTGTTTTATCCTCTATTAGAATAATAATAGTAAAACTATAGCTTTACTGGAAGTAGTAAAACTTAGGCAGCCACAGCCAGGAAAAAATCTTCAAGATAAAATTATTCATAGTTTCATTCAATAGCAGTAATTTCTACTTAACTCAGTTATTTAACTACACCTTCTCTGGTGCAAATGTTGAGCAGAAGTGAAGCTGGACTGAGATGTTAAACCTGTGATTATTCATCGTGACCTTCACCTGAAGTTGAAGGGCCAGATTCAGTGGGTCTGCACAGATTGTACTATCTGAGAAATATCGTTTGTCTGTCCTTTTGGGGGGGGAAAGTCAGATATTCTATATAATAATCCCTGATCTACAAAATTTTGATTTCTGAAAACTGTTACGCTGTAGTACTCTAAAAGATAGAGACCTATGAGCTCCCAAATTGAAACAGTGACCCAGATGTAGCCTGTGATGCCTCAGTTAACTGCAATCTTAATTAAAGCTTGACTGTGTGCAGAAAAACTAAACCCAAAAATTCTTTAAAAACTAAAATAACTACTACCATCTAATGTTTAAATGTTGTTATAGTGGTTAATAATGCTTTGCAATAACGTATGTGTATCTCTACCTTTTCAATAATAAACAGATTATGTAAATGATAGACATAGAAGCTCCCATATCCTGAAGAGTTCATTGTGGAATTGTATCTTTAACTCACGTGCAAAACTAATCATAGGAAGAATGTTCATGCTGCAGCTGATTGAAAAGAACAATGATAACTTAAAAAGCTTTTTATCTTTTTTTTTTTTTTTTTTTTTTAATCCACTGATGCTTTATTCTATATGAATCACTAGAAGACATAAAAAAATCTTTAAAAATCAAGTTCCACAGGTAACAAGACCGGGATGAGCACAGAAGTCCAAGTTTTGATTTATTTCATTTTAATTAGCAAATGCTTTGTGTACTGCAGTGAAACAAATCATGTTTGCTAGTGTTTCTCCATTTAATGTACTTTATGAAAAAAAATCCAGGTTCTGAAGCATTTAAATCAATCTAATTGCCTTTAACGTGTCTGCTACTCTTCATATTTTTTTCTCAAGGATCTATTTCTCCTTTTAGTACCTAGTTCTTCCTCTATCTATGTTCTCTCTCATCTTTGTACTACCTTTCTTGTTGTTTTCAGCTTCCTTTTCTTTTCATCAATGAAGTTTCAATGGACGACATTCTCTGAATCAGAAATTCACAGAAATTGTATCAGAAATTCACTGCACAATGAAGGACCAGACACCATAAGGCTATAGGCAAGTCCACTCTGTGGTCATAGGACAGGAACATAGATATCCATGCTAGCTTTAAACTGTCTCCCTTGATAAACAGTACAGGTCTAGGCACCATATGGATTGGCGCGAGCTAAGGTAACCTACTAAGAAAAGTCTGCAGAATAGGTGCGCACCAAATCCTGCAAAACCTTATTTGACAGAGAGTTACCCTGTGCAGTAATTTTGAGGGTCCCTGTTTAGATCAGGATCCTCAGACCTGGAAGATCACTGCTGGGCAAAAAAGCGAAAACTCGTACCATCTCTGATGCACAATGATTTGTAAGCCTTTAGGTGTGAGCTGTCTTTCTGCTGCGTTGGGATCCCGAAGCAGCTTTCCTTCTCCTCCAGTCAGATGAGTCTGTCTGTGCTGGAAGAGCATTTGGTTATGATCTGGATTCACACTTGATGGAAGTGTGGAGATTAATTAAGTGAAGAACAGATACCCAAGACATTTATAATTAACGCCTTAAGTAAGTTATAAACCAGGGCTCCAAAGATGAAAGCTTACTGCTTGACTGATTTACTAAATCACACATTCCCTCTCGACCACTGCTTTAAGGGCACAGTCTTTGCCAGCTCCATGCACGTGCTTTGAGAATTATTCACCTCAGAGCTTCTTGCATTTTCAACATCACAGTATTTTTTTCCCAAGCACTGCAGTACATGCTCATGTTAAATTCTTTGAACTTGCATCACTTTGTAAGATCTGATTAAACCTTTTAGACCTGCGAGTAGATGTTTTGCATATTGAAGAACTTAATATTATACCTAAATCTTTCTTCCTCCTGGGGTTCCCCACATGAAAGGTATTCTCCATCAGATTTTCAGATGCTTCTATTTTCATCCCGGAAATCTGTGATGATTTTAGGGGGGATCTAAGAGAGAGCAAATTACTTTGAACCTTAGTTTTCTGCTACAGGGTGGGCACGCTTTTCAATTTTTAATTTAATCTAAACAAAAAAAAAAAAATTCTGGCAGCTTTCAAAAAGTTGGGTACGTTTTTCTTTTATCATTTTTAGAGAGACTGTTTGGAGTCTGGTCCAATGCTTCTGAAGTCTAAGAGAACTGGGGACAAAAAGGTAAGCCAGTATGAAAAAAAAACAAACTAAAGCGGCTATTAGAAGTAAAAGACATCCTTCAATAAGTGAAAGTCCAAATGAAGAACATAGAAAAGACAATAAACCTTCTGGCAAACTAAATGTGAAGCCATAATAAAGCTGTCCCAAAAAGATTCTGAAGAGCAAGAGTGCAAAATATAACAATAAAAACTTTTTTTTTAAATACATCAGAAGCAGGAAGTTTGCCAGCAAGTTGATGGAGCCAATATATTACTGAAATGTAAAAAGACCACTATAGAAGGACAAGTCTGTATCAGAAAAGCCTGAAAGTATTACATTTGTGGATGATCATTATGGAGGGGCTCAAGGAAGTTTCCCTGTTGGGGACGGTCCTGAAGAGCTGCTGATACTGAAGTGGTTTGACAGTAAAGGGGATGATAATTAATCAACACAACAACAGGGACAAGGGTCATGCTGTAAGTGTTTAACTTGTGCAAAAGCTCTACGGAAACTCAAGCAACTGTCAACTCTTCTTGCATTTTAGCACTTCAGTAAGCCTTGTTTTAGAGATCTATGGCATTCTGCATCTGATGCTGCTTTTCAAAACAAAACCAAAAAATCAACAACAGAAAACAAAACTAAACACCAACAAACCCATGCTTATTACAGAGGAAAACAAATCAAATTTCCAACCTCATTTATTTTGTATGGATAATTGTTTCAAATTCAGTTGAAAGGTAATACTGTTTTTTTATCATTCCTTGAATTTCGACAGGAGGCTAACTTCTATTCTGGCTTGAAGTCTTACTAGGTCCTTCAGTCTAACTCAGATTCATGCATTGCACAGTTGGGATAGGGAGTGGAGAGGAAGAAGTAATACTACCTAAAAATTGAACAGGGACTGAGACATTTGCTCGTTCATACATCTGGGAGAAAACTGGTGTTCCCACTTCCCTGTAGTATTAGCGTGGCTGATTTGGAAGGTTGATCTCAGCTCTGTTCCTCATCCCTAGTACTCAGGGGAAAAATAAGGATTAAGGTTATTGTAAGCGATATTTTTGGTTAAAGCATACAAGGGCCACCTGGTCCCTGCCTGATCACCAGCATAAGTCAGAACAGCCAGTTTATATCCTATTTCCCCTGGTCCCTTTGGAGCTCTGGGAAGCAATGAAAAAGCCTAGAGCTGTGAACTTCATCTCCTCTTTTCTTCAACACTTCCTCTTCTGTTCCTTGGTGCAAAACCTGTCATTGCACTGGGGACTGAAGCACATTTGAGGAGAAAAACCCATTCTGCCCATCTTGTCCCTCCTAAGAAGCTTCTGCATAGAAAATTACTTCATCTGGCTTTTTTTTCCCTCTTTTCTTTACAGTCAGTGGCATGAACAGGCTATACATAAACATTCATATGACCTGTGAATAGGTGAGACCTATGTTGGCAGGGCTGTGTTCAATAATAGCAGAGTCAAAGCTTTGTCAACTGTGCGGTAAACTCTTACTGTCTGTGTGGTACTGAGCTATGACTTTAGAGACATTTTGCATGTGAAGCTGCTACCCAAAAGGCCTGTTGTTATCAAGCAGATGTGCTTGTTTCAGCCCAGAGCATTTTGACTGAAGAAAATGTTGTTGATGATAATGTGTGGACTTGCTACCTCCGTTTTGGTTTAGGGTTTAGTTTTGCTTTTCACACCAGGGTCTTGGTGTACGTTTCAGAAATAGGGTAGTTGTTTCTAGCTAGAAAGCTTTGACAGACCTAGCTGCACATATAGGAGACCTTTAACAGAAATGGTGGATGGGAACCCAGCTGTACATAACAGGATTTTAAGCATTGACTTCTGATCCCTTAACACACGTGTTTTGTTTTTTTTTTTTTTTTGTATTGTTGTCATGAATAGCATATGGATCCACATAACTGTAAATGAACATCTCCAGGTGGCTGCTGCCTTTTTTATACCTTGAGTAACTGCTTTCAGCCTCCTTTACAGACAGTTACAAAAACTTTAGTTTGGGTGCTCTGGATGCTAGAATCGCCTGAAAAGCCTTCAGGAATGACCAGACCGTTTAGGGATACTTGCAAATATAACTGTAGAGGATCCCCTGCTTATCTGAGATCACCATCTGAGTATATGGATGATACTTTTTAATGAAACATTTTGGGTTAGCTAAAAATGAAAAGCAGGTACTTTCTGCCAGATATATTATAAATATTTCTTTTTCATCTATGAAAATCATGGCTATCCAGACTAACGAAGTCGTTGCTTTTATCCTTATCTGCAATTTATAGTTTTTTTTTTTTTTCTGATCTTATGTATAATTTGTAGTCATTAAAACTCTAAGAACCTTCTTAATCCCCTTTAATGCAAAGACAACATGACTAGTGGGAGGACGCGTTTACCCAGATCACTTCAGATGTGCTATAGTTACTCCATGAAATCTTCAAATGTCATTTCAAATCTTCATCCAATCTAAGTGTCTACTTTTTTTACCATGGTGGGGAGAAACCCCGTTTGCCCATAAATTAAAAAAAAAAACAAACAAACAAACAAAAAAAAACAACAAACAAACAAACAAACAAAAAACCAACACAAAAAAAACCCACAACAAAACAAAACCAAAAAAGTTCACTGTGTGTTTACAGGACTTCACTAGCCTGAAAATGTCGGGACTTATTTAATTTCCACTGTAACTCTGCTAGAAGATGAAACGCAGTCGGTTTCTCCTGACAAGTGTTTCTGTAAAAATAAGAATTTACCATGCTGCCCTTGTCTTTTTCTTGCTGAAAATCTTTTTCTTCCTGAAAACACCGCGGGGATTGTTAGCTGCACGGGAGGCTGAAGCTGCGGGAGAGAGGGGGGAAGAAGAGGAGGAGGAAGAGGAGGAAGAACTGGAGGAGGAAGAGGGAGGAGAGAGGAGGAGGGGGAAGAGGGAGGGGGAAGAGGGAGGGGGAGGGTCGGAGCGCCGGGCCCCGCCCCGCCCCGCCCCGGCCGCGAGGCGCCCCTGCTCCGCCGGTGCCGCAGCGCCCCCCAGCGGTTGCGGCGCTGCCGGCAGGGGCTCCGCTCCGCTCCGGGACGCGGGTTCGCGCCCCGGTGTATCCGCGGGAGCCGTCCCGCGCGCCTCGGGGCTGCGCCGTGAGCCTTTGCAGCGCGCTGGAGCTGCGTTTAGTAAGACCCGACCGTCTTATTCAGCAGCTCTGGCCGCGCTTGCTTCTGTTTACCCCGCTGACACGCCTGTCTCTTGCCTCTTTCAGCTGGAGCTGACTGGGAATTTCCAGGCTGAGGAACTGAATATCGCGCCTTGGGATTTCATAGGAAACAGACTGTCGCTAACGCCTCGGAGCCCCCAGAGCTCCGTAGCCAGGCAGGTGCCCCCGGAGCCAGCCCTGCCCGCCCTGGAAACCCAGTGCCCGGCTCTCCGCCTGCCAGAATCATCTTTAAGCACAGTATGTTTCCTCCAAAGCTAAATCCCACAACATTTCCTTTTTTTTTTTTTTTTTTTTTTTCTTTTTCCTTCTGTAATTCTTCCATATTTCTGTATTGCATTTGCAATACAAAAAAAAATAATTTTGACAGGAGATCAGAGGGTTTTTTCGTAGATAGCAAGGCATGCACATGCATTTTCTCTGCAGCAGATCTTGCATAGCCTTTAGAAAGTGACTTTATTTCTGGAAATCTGATTTATGGAACAGCAAATGGATGGATAGCTGAACTCCAGGGAAAAAAATGTAAGTCATCACTGACAAGCATGCGGGAAGACCACCAAATTCCAAGTTGATGTTGTCAGGCTGATAACTGTATTAGCAAATATTTTCTATGAGCATAGCTTCTCTGGTAACTTCTCTGGTAACTACGCTGATTTTAACAATTTACATGTACGTAACTGATACGAGCATTTCTTTAAGATCTGGTGTATCACATTACATCAAAGCATTGGGTGAGAAACTGGCAATAGGTTATCCAACATAATGCAGTTTGACATGAAATGATTTTTGACAGCTAAGGCAGAATTTCTTGGGAGGGAGAGGAGGAACATGATTTGTCCTTAGAATATCTGATTTCCCACACATACACACTCCACTGACAGGACATCAGTAGTTAGCCATGTAAGAAACATCCATTTCTCATTGGTTTTAGTATCTTAATTAAACGTATTTGACCAATGAGGCAAAGGCAGAGTGGCTGAGTGGACATGTCGCTGCAGCTGATATACGCAGACAGAAGCGCTACATGGCAGATGTATCTTCATATGGGCCATCACCTTCTGTCATGTTGTAAGCAGAAGCTCCCCCGCCCCACAACACAGAGTGCTTTGTACAAGGAATGTTATTGGTGCTGTCTCAAACCGTGATGTGTTTGTGTTCCTTTCCAGATGAACTTTAATTCTGAACCTGCTGAGGTTGTACTGCTTGCTTTGGAAATACTTGCAATATCCCTAGAATGTTTATTTTCCACCCCAATATGCTGCTACATTCTTGCAAGCTTTCTCTGGTTGTAACGCAATGTTTGGCCAGGAAACAGAGAATACAAATGAAAACCAGTATCCCCAGTTTTTGGGAAATGTAGTGAACCTATGACACAAAGTGTTTTATTGGAAACAATACAAAGATTTCCAGAGAAATAATAAACAAACAGCTGGTCAGCATCCCTGTAAGACCATCAACTTCAGATGTGTGTTTCCTGGAAGGATCAGACTGTTTTGTTTAATTCTCTTCCTCTGCCCTCAACAGATAGGAGAAGCAGTGAGCAGGTCTAGCGATAATGTTCCAAAGCAGATAGTTAGATATTTAATAAGTGTAGCAACAATACAATTTGCATGACCAGCTAACCATCTACAGATTGTTTCCAATGGATCCAAACCACTGGCTTTCTCCAGGTATTTGTAGAAGACCAGAACTTAAACCAACAGTGCATAAAGAGTCAGGCTCCAAAGGGTTAGCAGCAGGAAAACACTTCACTCCTGCAGTGCTATGCAGGAACATTCAGTGAATAGCAGCACATCCATGGATCTACTTTCACTGCTGTGGAAACCTAATATATGGAAGGATAGGACTAACATAGAATAGAGAATTTGCCTTCAGGACAGTGTTAGAACAAACCTCTTCTTACTATAAAGGCAAAATAAAAGGGTTGGGGTGCAGGACTGGCTTTTGCCCTTTCAGGCACAGTAACAAACCTGGCACTGTACTCTAGTGAAAAGTCAACCTTGGGACCAGCAACACAAAGCCAAAGTCTTTGAGCAGACAAATCCTTGTAGCTGATATAGAGATGTAGAATTGCTGTAAGTATATTTGCAAATTAACACATAAACATTGCAAGGTCTGTGGAGATGACGGGCAGGTAGCCAGAACAGCCGCAGAGCTACCCGGGCCTTCTCTCCCCCTTACAAAGCAGCACAGACGGGCTTGCACCATGCTCCACGCCGGTGTCAAATAAATCTTGTTTAAAGCAAAACAGGTCATTGTAAGCTTCCTGGAGTGTACACGTACCATCTATAGGCTACACATCCTCTGTGCTCCACACTACGCAGCCATTGGGGATCCAGTGGTATGTCTAGACAGCAGGCCCTCCTAACAGCACTCGAACATAAGCCCCAACCAACCAGACACGTACCACCTGCTCGTGCTCCTCTGCTTGCCTTGCACAGCCAGCCATCACCTCCTCACTGCTGGAGGAGTGAGTGACGTCCAGCTAGGTCTCCTCCAAGGCTCAGACACAGCCACGCCAAGTGACAGGACTTTTGAACTCTGGTGGAACAGACGTGGAGATGAGTTTTGCTAGCACACTGGAGTCCCCAACGCTTTCACCAGGGCAGTGGCATATAAACCTAGCTGCAGTTCCCAAAAGGCGCTGGTGTCATTGTAACTTCCTTTGTCAGTAGGAACTGAAAGCCTGGGTAGAAAGTTTCTAGCAGGAGTTTAAACTGGCATTGCTGCATAAAGCCTATATGGCTTATGTTCAACACTTAAAAATGCATTACACTTTGCGTTTATATATAGTACAATGTACAATAGAAGTGGGAAGTCATTAGATTTATGGATTGTCTGAAAAGTTGCTTTCTCACTTTCTATATACATCATACTTAGCAGGGACAGGTTAAAATTGGTCTCCCAGTGTGGTACTGCCACAAGCATGTTTGTTTTTGTTTTTGTTTTTTTTGAGTCAGAGAATCTTTGGACCTATTGCATTTCTCCTCTGACTACAAACAAATGTCTGTATTTGTACCCAGACAGATCTTTTTTTTCTGGTAAAGAATAACACAGAATTTATGTTTTGGCTTTGGGATGCTGTGTGCAGATCGGGTTCTTCTGGCTGTGTAACACGACAGATTTTCAGAGGCATGAAGGGTAGTGGGGTGGTTGACTTTCAACAGCAGGTGGATGCCTAATGTCCCTTTGTGTCCTTGAAGACCATTCCCTCATGTATTGCTTTGCCACCTGCCTACACAAACACTCCTTGCAATTTAGGAGTTAAACTCAACACTGGCAGCAGAAAAATCAGCGCACATAATGAAGAAAAAACAATCGGTTCTGGGTAAAGGCACGAAGTGCTTCAGAGGGCTGTTTAGTATTCATTGTGCATATTCCTGAGGAACTAATGTCCACTTCTAAAGTTTCACTGGTTGGGGTTTTTTTGTAGGGTGGAGAGTGTTTTTTATATCATGTCCTACTACAACAAGGGTGTAAGTTAAGACTGCTTAAATCTGTTTCATCCTTGGTTAACAACAGTTTCTTCAGGCTTCTGGAAGTAGCTGGACATTTGAAATACTGGCAAAGTTTGTGCTTAGTTTCTTACAGATGAGCTAAACTACATTTTCAGCCCTCGAGATCATAGGTCATAGTTCTGCTTCACCAGGGAGGGGCCAAGAGCGGTATGGTGGGGGCCAAGAGGGGTGTGGGAGGGGTCAAGAGAGGTGTGGGAGGGGTCAAAAGCAGTGAGGGAGGGGCCAAGAGCGGTATGGGGTGGGGGGCAAGGGGGTGTGGGCGGGGCCAATGGCTGAGTGGGCGGGGCCAAGGGGGCTTTGGGCAGTTCCAAGGGGGCTGTGGGCGGGTCCAGTGGTGGTATGGGGGGGGCCCAAGAAGGGTGTGGGAGGGGCCAAGATCAGTGTGGGAGGGGCTATATGGGGTGTGGGGGGGCCAAGAGCAGTGTGGGAGGGGCCAAAAGGGATGTGGGAGGGGTCAACAGCAGTGTGGGAGGGGCCAAGAGGGGTGTGTGAGGTGCCAAGAGAGTTGTGGGAGGGGCCAAGGGCAGTGTGGGAGGGGCCAAGAGGGGTGCTGGCAGGGCCAAGGGTGCTGTGGGGGGGGGCAGTGGCAGTATGGGGGGGGCAATGGGGGTGTGGGAGGGGCCAAGAACAGTGTGGGAGGGGTCAAGAGGGGTGTGAGGGGGCCAAGAGGGGTGTGGGAGGGGTCAAGAGCAGTGTGGGAGGGGTCAGGTGCAGTGTGGGAGGGGCCAAGAGCAGTGTGGGAGGGGCCAAGAGGGGTGCTGGCAGGGCCAAGGGTGCTGTGGCACTGCGGTGCCACTGGGCAAAGTGACTCGGGAGCAGAGGCTCAGCTGCGTGGCCACTAGAAACACGTTTGTGACAGAATGAAAGAAAAACCGACTGCTCCTTCGCAGCCTAAGGTGGGATTCCCCAGCCTGGCCCTGGCTGCTAGGCCCTGCCTGACACCAGGGAGCGGGGCAGCCGGGGGCACCGGGGCAGCCCCAAGCCCGGGTGTCCGGCACCTCCCTGGGGACAGGTGGAGGCCAGGCTGGGTCCAGCTCAGACCCTGGGGGTCTGACATGGGGTCCTGGGCCCTGGGCAGGGTGAGGGGAGCCTGGGGAGGGGGATCAGGGCCTGATAGTGCCTTTGGGGACTTGACGGTTTTGCCTGGTATAGCGATTTAAGAAGGGAAATAACTCAGCTGGCAGAAGGCATTTTTAAACCATCAGTTGTGCTGACAGGATGCCCCTAGCTGGTATAATATTTTTAAACAGAAAACAAAACTCAGACTGCACTGGAGTTCTCAGCAGCCTTGCTAAAGGACAGTGAGACTCCGTTTGGATTGTATTAGGGTAAGGGCAGTACAGAAAACTGCAGATGAAAACCTTCAGCACCTCCTCTCAGAACTTACTGCTAGAAACTCCTGCCACAGTCACACCTTTCCAGGCACCCAAGATTTCAAAGGGTACAGCATGGGGTCTATTGTAGTTACCATGTTTTATGAGAACCATTTTGGAATACATGCTCTTCGCATCATCAGATAGGTGCAAATATATCAATGTAATGTTTACTTTTTTTTTTTTTTCTTAGTGTATCAAACTTTTTTTAGATAAGGTTAAAAATTATGGCCTGCCTCTACAATTTAAAAGCAATACATACCTTTAAAAGAATATGTTCCAGATGCATAAGAGCTATTCTGAGCCTCAGGGAAATCTTTTACAACTTAATTTCATGTTGAGTAATGCTGCTGTAGGAATTAATTTCTGGAGGGCCTGGTCTGTTGCTTTGAGAGAAATGGCTAATGGCACTAGATCATGAGATTCCCTGGATTTCTAAAGTGATAATCACACTCCAAAAGAGGTCAGGTTTGGGGGTTTGACCAATAACAAGACAAACCCCAGGGAAGATGGTTCTTTAGGAATCATTAAAATAATCTGGTCAAGATACCTTGTTGACCCTGTCGTGCCTCTTCTTTTCCAATTTATATGCTTAAATAAGGCAGTCTTACCACTGATTTACTGGTCTCTGTTTTACCAACCTGCTAGCCCCACCTAGAGAGGCACTTGTTTCTAAACATAAACTATATCTGTAAGCTGCATTAACTAGATACTGAAATTGGTTGCAGGCTAATATTGCATGCTAAATGTGCATCCTGGTGTTTTCTTCTTTCTTTCTGCACCTCTGATCTTCTCTCCAACTTCTGTTTACAGACTGATCACATCATTTAGAGACACAGCACAGCTATTATGATGTGAAATAAAATATACTTCCATTCCCTGGAAACTGGTTTTCACGAATGAAAATCCTAGTTCTCTTTTTCAAAAAGAGACAGAGCTTACGGCTTCAAAGACAGACGTCTTTTCTATACACCTTGTCTTTTTTTCACAAACGTATATACAACTTTGAGACAGAAACCTCTCAGCCTGGAAGAAAATATTTCATTTGAATGCAGAGAATTAAATTATGAAGGTATGATTTAATCACACTTTAGATGGGGAAAATAATAAATTGCTACCTGAAACAGACACAGATGCTACATTACTCCTTTTGCTAATACTTCCAGTAAACTTTTTCTAAAAATATGAATTCAAAATTTAGCGTTTCCCTCATGTAAAAACTAAATAACTTGTTTTATCTTTGCAACTTCAAAATGTACAGTAAAGAAAAATCCCATGGCTTTGTATTGTTGCTGTCTGTGTCTCTCAGACATGGATTCTGGTACTAAAAATTGCATTGCCACAGTACTTCTTAGTCATTGCAATGGATGCCCAAAGCAGTAATAAGCCCACATTGGCATAAACACTGTAAAAAGCCTGCAGCAGAAACCATTTATTTCTCTGAAGGGTTTTGCCCTGGCTACGGGTCATCAGGCATCTTTAATCCCTTATTCTTTCCCTTTTACTTTATGGGTCTTCTTGAACTGTATTGTTACGTTATGTAAAAGCTCTCTGTTCTGTAAGTTTTTCTACATTTCTCCTGGCCTTCTGCCTGCCATGCTTGTTTTAGCTGGAGGCTAGGTATATGAAGTCTGATTCAAAACCTGTTTATCCCGTCCAGAAGGGAGAGATTGCTCTAAGTAGTTGGAAAGCATGATTGGTTCTGACAGTGTTATTTTGGCAGGACTAGGGCAAAAACCAAGCAGCACAGCAAATGGTTCTCAAACAAGTTTTAAAAAACAAAAACCAACAGCCCAAATCAATCATATATTAAAATGAAAGATTCAGTATAAAAACAGTACAACTTTCTGCATACTAAAAGGCTGAATACATGCCTGGAAGGTTCATTAACCCGTTGATTTTTAGAACATTGAAACAGAAGGACTTGACTTTCTTTGTGACTCAGCTTTTCAACTTTTAATATCACCTGCTAGAGATGGGAAAAACAGGAAGAGCTGAAAACTTCTTAAACATCAAAATTTTAACATATGAAAGGAATTCTTTGCAAAGTGTCAACTTGGTCTATTATTTCATACTTCACTGCTCTTGATTTCACCTGTTTGTGATTCTGTTTAGCATATACAGGGTATGTTGTTCTGATAAAAGTACTGAGCTGAAGAGTTTCTCAGGAAGGAGTATGCTAACAGAGTAGGCAGCAGTCATTATGACAGGAAGAAAATTTCAGTCCTAATGTCCTGGAAAGAACCTATATAGAGATGTAAAAGAAATACGTGCAACAGTGCTGAGCTGTAAGCCGTTATTGTACACATGGGAGAAAACTTACAGTGAGTGAGTCCACAAGCTTCTCGAAAATATTCCCCAGGATCGACACAACCATGACTGCAAAGAAGGATGTGCACCTGCAGAAACAGGATATTGTGGTTAACTGTAGAACAGGAAAAACGTATGAGGCATGGAAAGCTTAAACTAGTCATATCTGATATGGGGAGCAGAGAAGGGAAATAGGTGACAATAAGGAAGTTGCTTGTAGCACTGGATCATTTAGTTGTGCGTAGCTGACATGTCAGGTAGGAAGCCTCTTATGCTATGACAACAGTTTCACATAAGCTGTAATATAAGAAAATGCTATATCTTTACCCTTTCACCACTCTCTACCATCATGCTGGCACAAACCTTTTTTCAACCATACAGTCAACCTAATCAGACAACTTATGATCCAGGTTAAACTGAACCTTGTTAGTTACTTGAGAGGATGAATAAAGAGAAAAGAAAGGAGGGTAAGATGGCAAAAGGAAAATTGTGACTATGTTTTTTGGCAATTTAAGCACAATTTTGGTTTAGACCAACTTGTAGTGTGCAAGAAATTGATCCCTAAACACTGAAAGGGAGAATGATGCCCAGTAATCCTAATGGCTGATAGATAAAGAAAGATGATATTTTCTATCCCTGGAGGAAGTAAAACAGTGCTGGATGTTGTGGTTGTTCAGTTGGTCTCAGCCTACTGGTGCAGGAATAAATGGGAGGGCTGAGGACTATTTTTGTCACATTTACTTTTACCGGAGTACCAGCTGATCTGTATTTCCTGAACTTTCCCATAAGCTGTGATAAAATTTTAAAAATTTCATTAAATGCCACCTCTTTATCTTATGTTCTAGAAGAGAATAGATTTGTTATTACTGGTTGAGAACAATCCACCTTGGCTGTTATATATTTCTCCTTGTTGTCTTCCAGGCACCTCAAATTATAGTTTTCTTCATTTTTCCAGGATCTGAAATAAAGCTGGTCAGCTTACGATTACCAGACTCCTTCAGTTTTTTCTTTTTTTTCATAGGTGGTCCCAATGCTTGTCCATCTTTAGCATTTCAGCACTTCCTTTACCTTCCACAAAGATTACTGCTAATGTTTCTGTGATTGCCTCTGTCCAAGGATTATTTCAGTCAGGCCTAGGCAACTTGAGACCATCCATATTTCCTGAGTACCTTCTAACCATTTATTTTCCTTTGTGTCTTCAATTCCTATCTCCTTGTCACTGTGTTAGCCACCTTAACTATCTAATCCTGTTCATGAGGACTTTCATGAGGACTGGAGTACTTCACATGCTTATATAACGGTGTATATTCCTCTTCCTGGTAATATAGCCTATTATACGTGTGCTTGCACACACACTTACAAAAAAATGAGATTGTCTAAAAATAAATAGTTTCTAAAGCCCTTGCCTTGACAGTGTTATTAAAAGATTCAGGTTAAAAGAAGCTTCAACTTCCCAAAACAAAAACATGCCTCAGTGGTGCTCCAAGACCTTTCAGCAAGCTACATAACCTACAGTTAAAACATCAGGGCACAGTGAGGGCGAGCTGCTCAGCCAGGGGAGGGAGATGAGCAGTGCCCTCATCAGCCAGGGCCCTGTCCCTCAGCACCCCAGTGAGGTGAGCAGGGCAGCTCTGGTGACAGCACCCAGAGTTGACCAGCAGTGGTCAATATGTTTGGGGCAAGCAAGAATATCAAGTCAGCAAGATGCATGTAGCATACACCAACTCTGTCAGAGCTGGCCTCAAGCCCAGGTAGCCCATCTCCTAGGGGAGCAGAAGAAGGGGTGGGAGAACCTCCTGGTGTTTTGGGGGCCCTAGCTGGAACCAAGAAATACCCGAATCCAACAGGATTCGGTCAGATTTGGCAAAGCATTAGAGATGCAAACCATACATGTCAGCAGGGCAGCAGTAGCTGCTTCACAATCATAAAGTCATTAGAGTGACTTTGTCACTGTCATATTTTCAAGTATCATCTCCTGTGAAGTTGGTCAAATTCAAGTTAATTTCTAATATAATTTGGTTTTATTTATTAACTCATTTAATTTCCTTGAATTAATCAAGGCCAAAATTCTGTCCCAAGTTTTACTTCAGACACAATATGCATCTATAATGACTTTTCCCTATCTCTCTCTCCAGAAGACATCTGCTTGGCCTTGACAAGAGTATTTCTCCTCTTGCACGTCAGAAGAAAGATCAGCCTTGGCTGATGTAGTCTGTTCCCTGGGACAAACAGCTGCAAATGGAGAAGAGAAAGCCAACAGAGTTCCGGCTTGTATGTCCTGTATGAGTAATTCAATCTGAAAGACCTTTGTATGGAAATTCAAGTACTGCCTGGACTATATCACCATTTTCACCCTGGCTGCTGGAGAAGAACATGTGTCAGTACTTGAGAAAACAGTAAGGTCCTTCAGGAGAAGAGGGGCTCTCAGAGTAGAAAGCACACACTCTTCTTGGATAATATGCCAAAGACAACTCTCTCAGCACACTGCATCGCAGCACACTTTCTGTTAGGCTGTTCTTGTGTCAGTGTAACTTATTTTCTTGAGAGTCCCATTTCCTTCTCTTTTATAGGCACCTCAGGTGACACCCCTTATCTGTAGCACATTCTTCTCTAATGTCAAGTAATATTAAGCCTAACTAGATCATAGAGAGGATACTGGTCCTGGATATTATTTTTATAGCAGTTCCATATTCATTAACATTATCTTACATGCCAGAGAGCAAGTTATTCCATAGGGCAAATAAACTTGGCTTGATTTAATCCAAATGTATCTAATGGCTAACAAAGACAAAGCATTTGAAATAATTCTCTGGGACACAGGCTCTGTTCTTAGATATACTAGAAGAAAGTTCAACTTTCGCAGTTCACAAAACATGAAAGCTATCTGGCTGTTCATCGGAGAGAGCTTGCAGTCTCCAGTGGAAAGCTTCCAAGGAGGGACTGCCAAGGAGACTGTAGAGGCAGCTGTCATCAAAGAATAGTCAGTCAGCTATCACCTTGACTGAGTTTTTACAGTCTAGAGACCTGGAGTTTGCTATCCTCCCACTGGGCTTCATCTACAGTAAGGAAACTTTTAGAAAGAAATGGCAGGAAGCACTCAGATATCAAACACACTTCCCTTATCCCCCCCATTCAACCCCACTCCTTTTTCTCCAGAGTCATTCACCCTTAAAATAAAGAAGCTCTCTCTTTCTTCCTCTTTTTTTTTGTTCTTTGGATCTGAAAAACGGTAAGTTTGTAAGTATTTCTTCTTAGGCTGAAAATGATTCCCCATTCTTGCAGCTGCCAGTGATGCTATAAGCAACATTTTATTATAAGCAAAATCGATATGGCAGTGTTACAACATTTCTATCAGTGAAACAAATAGAATTAGGTTAAATGACAATCTCATTACTGCAATAGAAGCTTCAATAAATGGCAACCTTTCTTGCTAAAATATAAACCAGCCAAAATATAACAAAACAAAAAAACCAAATTGCCCAATTAATCACACTGCATCTATAACACAACTGAAAGATCAATAACCCTTCAAATGTACAGAGAGGCAATTGCCCCCATCTACCTACATAAAGAATCCATTCATCAAAACACTATCTCATAGCAGGATTTTCCGGTATGATTAACCTATCATGGCACTTCAATGTTAAAACTACACTCCTCGGTGCTCGGTCTGCTTATGAAAAGCACTCTGTGGGCCTAAATGAAATAACATTTTCCTTTGTGCAATAATATGACCAATCTTATTCTTGCTCTACAAGCAAGAATCTTGACAAATAATTAGTTAAAACCCACAGTAATACTACTCATATGTTATCATTTGAAATATAATGTGATGCTGTGAAACAACACAACATTAATAATGGTCAGTATGATAACAGCTATTTAGTTTTCCTCTCACTTCTCCATGGATTTCTATTATTCTGAGGATTTTTACTATATTAAATGTTCATTCACATTTTTTCTTATTGCAAGATGTTAACGATTAACACTGCTGAGGGTTGAATCCATGAATTAAGAAGTAAGGAGGTGTGGATTTTCTGAAGGCAGATACTAAACCTCTGGAGGTGTCACAGATTGTATTTAGCTTTGCAAGTCACTCTGGAAAATCTTACTTTAAAGACTTTTAAAGCCTACAGGGCTCTAGTACATGGAAAAAGACTTCGAACTCTCTATATACTATCTGTAGCCAAATTTACAGAGAAAAAAGAACAGTTCAATATTCATAACAATATAAGCCTCTTTACCATATGTTTCACAGAAGGTATTGCTAGCTGTGATATACTCCATCAAGATCACATCTCCAGATAATTTCAGAAATCACAGGGACATAAAATTTGAGACTAAGCCTCAGCTCAACATCCCCCTTCCCTCCTGAACATCCTAATTTCTTAAGAATTTTTTTTAACCGCTTGCAGTAACACATTTCTCATTTTTTGTATTAGATGTTCCCAGATAGACACACCTATTCCTTATGAGGGGACACCTGATCAAAGTTGGGTACTTTTTCTGAACAGATTGGAGAAGCCAGTGGAAAGCTGAACTGTGCCAAAACCAAAATTGTTGAGAAACTGAAGGCAGATTCAGCAAATAGTATCAGTTGAAAGAAATGGGTGGGAAACATTTTGAAAATGCTAAAATATTTCCTCTCAACTTTTCGGGGAGAGGGACAGTATTAAAAGCATTTTGAAGTGTCATTTCTCATTTAGAAGCTGGCCTTAATAGGAAAAACAGAATAAAAAAGCAAATTTCTTTTGAGTTAATGGAAAAATTTTAGGTTAAACCAAAATGAATTTATGCATTTTGTATCATAAAACTTTCTCTTTCCCTCATTATTTTGAATAATTTCTGTTTAGGTTCTACAAGAACTAGTAAATTTTCCCTTATTTTTTCATTTAGACCAATCAAAAAAAAAAGCCCAAAACCTGTCCAGCTGTACTTGCTTTAACACAAATGGGCCTCAAAATTTTTTTGTGTGTGATCAATGGGACTGCATCCATGAATTATTTTTAAAACTTAGCCCAGTAATTTCTCTGGATCAGTCAAATATCCTTGTGACTCACTACCAGCATCCAGAAGGGAAGTGGAGCTGGAAAATGTGCACCCCTTCAGTTTTCCAAACCAGTACTCTCCTTTAATTAAATGGCTTTTTATTAGTCTTAGACTGATTAATATATTTTTTCTGGAGATATGTCATATTCATTTTTTGCCATTATTAAAATACTTTCAAAGATTCAGTATCCAAAGAAATACAAGAATCTTGCCTATACTGGCAAGCTGGAGTGGGGCGTGCAGGGAGGAAATACATGAAAAGCCCACCCCTGCACAAGACAAGAATGTGGCTATAATTCACAGAAACACAGCCTGTTCAGCTCTTTCTCCCATGGGAGAAAACTCATCCAGCTGAGCTAGGGCGAGTGCAAGGTTGGGTCTCCCTCCCTCGTTGCAGCGGCCATGGCACCCGGCCTGGCAGGCCAAACCATGGCCCCGTTTCTGTTCACAGCAAGTCCCAGTCGACCGCCTCTCTCCTGAGGGCCGTTTTCCTGGGCGCATGGCCCACCGCTCACCGAGAGCTGAGCAGTCTCTACACGGTATGTATCAAACACACGGCACTGGCAAACACCTTCTCCAGCTTCACTGTGGATGTAATTTCCTTTTTTACCGTGCCTGGTAAAAGTTCAAGTGTTGTGTTTCTCTTGCAGCAGTTAATAACACTGTGAGCACCTGCAACTCAATGAGCAAAGCCTCTCCTAGCTCTGCTTTTAGTGTTAGTGCTGGTGTCATCACATTTTTCAGGAGAAACACAAAACTCTCTGCTCAGGTTATGGCCCCTAAAATCCTTTGGGTTTGTCAGCTAGTGTAACCATTGCTGTATGTCAGTCTTGTGAGGTGAAACAAACACACAAATCTATTTAAAGATTCCTAAAAGGTGAGATGGATGAACTATTGACTTTACAGTCCTACTGTGATAGAAATACATTTTGCTTTGAATGTATATTTTTTCACCACAAAAAGATGTGGGATAAAAAAGGCACTTGTGATCTTCTTATCATGAATCCTCAACCAGGGCTGTGTAAGACTTGAGTCTTTTACCTGAGGGAAGACAAAAGGATGGACAGGTCTTTTTATTTTGGAAGAAGGATATTCTTCTACTGATAGTTTCTTGGTGCTGTCTGGCTATTTTAATCAATAGCTGTAGAGATGGAAACAGTCATTATCTTGTTACATAGCAATTCAACAGACAACATATGAAAAAAAGAACACAAGGAACAGGCAACGAAAAAATGTAAAGAATTTTTCTGCAATTCGGTTTCTCTCTTGAAAGTTTGGTCTGTTATAAAAATGGATTAAGGTTTGACTAGCTTTTTTCTGGGATTTTTGTTTGTTTGCTTTTACTGGTATTGCATATGCTTAAACTGAGTTTGATAGGCATTGCTTATTATCAGGAATGATAAGGAAATTCAACACACAGAAGCTAACTACCTCTTAGAAACTGGAAGGCATTCCCATTATCTCTGTCTTAAACTCCAACGCAATACCTATGTGTGACCTATATTACCACAAATTGAATTTTTCCTGCTAAGTTCCAAAGGCTAATGTTAGAAGCCATACATATTTAGAACGTGTATGTAAGGACAAAGTCTTGAATTCTAAAATGGGCAGATCCTTTAGCTGCACTTCCACCCCCCTTCATCACTTTTTTACTCTTACTTGATTTTATTTTAAAAGGAAGAGACTACATTAAGAACCTCATACCCCTTTTGAACTGAAAACATGGCCTATGTGTAAAAATATAACACAAAGGCTAAACACAAAAAACAAAGAGTCAGACTTTCAGACATATAAAATACAAATAGTCAAAATTAGCATGTCCATTCCCCAAAACATGAAATATTGAAGAAGTTGATTTTTGAACCTATAAAGGGACCATTTTCTCCTCAGCCATGAATACTAGAAAGTTAAGGGAACGCAGAATAAAGAAATCTAAGTTGGTGTTTCTTTGGTTTTTTTTTGTTTTTTTTTTTTTTTTTTTTTTTTTTTTTTTTTCCCCAGAAACAAAATATTGAGGAAATGTGTTTACTCTCTTCAGGTTTGCAGTCAGATCAAAAGATCTGACATACAAGAGTTCTCATAGTAGGATAATCTTTTGACTCCACAGATATTGGAGTATTTGTCTCTATCAGCAAATTCATAGCTACACAAGCCTGGGGAATCCAGTGTAGGTTGAAGTCATTGTGAGGATCACAGCATCCTCAGAATCTGTTTCAACATGAAATTCTGTTATCAAAATTTTTCACTCTACTTAATCTCACTTAGTTTTGGGTTCACTGACTGATGGATTTGCAACTCTACACATGTGATCTCAAAGGTACTTACAGTTCACAAACACGAATGTGATCAAATGGAAACGAATTTGGTTTTATAAATGTCTTCTTCCTTGCATTCAAGCCTGGCATGAAACCAAGGCTACATTTCCTCACATAAGCATATCTGTTTCATTATGTCCAACACAATCATAGATAGCAATGTCATTTCTGAATTCTGATATGATGCCAGTATTTATACTGGTTATTGTCTTGCAGCATTCACTCTAGTTAAACTATAATGCTCTCACACATATGTTAAGATTTTGATGAGTGGATCTTGTCCTGCTTGCTTTGCACACATAAACTTCCAAAGAATGTGAAAAAGAAACACCAAGACTTTATGCACAGATTATCTGTGTTAAATCTGATTTGAACTATTGGCTCTTATTTACATGTTGATCT